ATAAGCTGATACGACTCATAGCGACTATACAAACATATTGAAACCTTGTCCTATCTGCCCAGTTCCCAAAATTTCCACCATTCTCGAGCCCATTATTGTAGTCACTGTGTCAATCCATCTTGTTGAAGGTCTTCCTCTCTTTTGATGACCATTATCTACTTTTCTTTTTTTTAAATTTTATTATTGTTAATGAACATTTACAGAGATTTTGGATTTCCATTCATTCATTGTTGCACTTTTCTCCCTGCCCAGCCCTCCCCTCCCCAGTTTGCTCCTCTCTTTGAAAAATAAAACAAAAATGTCTTCTTTGGTATACAATCCCCTCCCATCACCCCGAGTACACTCCACTATGCAACCTTAATTCTGGATTCTTGTAATAACCATAATACCCTATCATATACCGCTTTTAGATTATTCTCTCCCTCATCTGTTTCAATGCAGTATACGTAATTTATCCAGTTTTTCTCAGTTTTACCCCAACCCTGATGTCAGTCCCATTCTACAACAGTGGCACCATGCAGTATTTGTCCTTTTGTGATTGAGATATTTCACTCAGCATAATGTCCTCCAGGGTCACCCATTTTGAGTAATATTGCATGAGTTCCTTGTTTTTCAATGCAGCATTGTGTGAATATACCACAGCTTCTCTATCCATTCATTTGTTGAGCCATTTCAGTCTTAATGTTCCGGATTGCATTGTCATGACTTTTTGTTCTTTCTAGTACTGTGTTGGCAGTACCCTCTCTATCTCGTGTTATTTTATGTTCTTGTATCTCTTTATCTAGAGTCTTGAGGACTCTCCTTCATAGGGTCACAAACAAAAAACAATCTCTTTATCTATTCTTCCATCTATCTATCTATCTATCTATCTATTTATTTTGCATTTTCTTCCATATTTGTGCAAGTTCCTCCTCATCAATATATTTCTTCTGGCTCCATGTCTCTGGAGCATTTGCTTTCTTGTTGATTTCCATTATTTCTTCTGTCATTTGCACCTTCTTCCATAGCTGTTCAAAGAACTCTTCATCAATAGATTTTCCTCCCTTGTTCTCTACCTCTAGGTTATTCCCTTCATTTGTACTTTTATTCATAGCTTTTTTAAGGTCTCCGTATTATTATATATCATCTACCTTCTTGACTCTGGAGCATTCATGAGGTCTCTGATATTCTCTTTTTCTGGAGAAGGCGTAATTTGTTTTTTCAGTGTTTGAAGCTGTCTGTTGTTTTCTTGACATTAGGTGAAGTTTTTTGTTTGTTTGTTTTTTTATAAGTTTTAGATTGTTTCTATTGTGTCTGTGAAAGTTGGTGGTGGTTCTTGACTTCATAACGTTACTAATTAGTTGCCAAGTTAAAATGTGATGAGCTACTCAATACTGTAAGTCCTTTCAGGGAAAGTTTGCTTTTCTTAAAAGTCCTTGAGGATCTCTCTGTTCTGCACTGCAGTCCCATAGGAATCTAGAAGTAGTTCCTGACACCAACTCTATAGTATTTCTTCATATATGAAGTGGCTGAGTGATGTGAGATCAGGTGCTTTACCCAAGCAGTTTCTCATGCACCTTTTCTCTTGGAATTTAATATCTTCCTTTGTCTTTGAGTGGCACAAGATTTAGAGATCAGGGCAGCCAGGTCATGCAGCTTGCATGCAGGGGGTCTCAAGTCAGTCCTCCCTCTATTTCACAGAGAACTACAAAAATCCATTTCCCCTGCCCAAAGTTCTGCACACTAAAGTCTCTTGTCCTCTTTGACACCTGGGATGACCCCAGATGGAGGAATCAACAACCCCAGGGACACCTCAGTCCTATCTCCCCACAAACAATGAAGAGTGCTCACTTTTTGCACAGAGTCCCACTTCTCCTGAACTTTCCCACATACAAATTTTATTATTGTTCTATTTTCACAATGGTCTTAACAGTATTTGTCCTTATGAGATCAAGTTAGTTTACTCAGCATAATGTTCTCCAGTCTCTCTCAAGTTATGTAGTATTTTAAAAATCATTGCTCCTGAGTGCTTCACAGTATTCCACTATGTGTGTGTATATATATGTATATATCATAATTTCTCAATCCATTCATCTGTGGTTGGATATTTGAGATGTGCCTGATCTAAGGTATGATATTTGCAATTACTTGCTATGCATCAGAGAGTTGGACAATGACTAGGGATGATAGAATAAGAATCTTATGTCTTTGAGTTGTGGTGCTGGAGAAGAGTATTGAATATACCATGGACTGGTAAAAGAACAAACAGGTCTGTCCTAGAGAGAGTGAACCAGGCCGCTCTTTGGAGGCCAAGATTTTGAAGCTCTGTCTGACATACTTTGGGCATGTTGCCAGGAGAGACCAGTCCTTGGAGAAAGATACCATGCTTGGAAGGGTAAAGGGCCAAAGCAAAAGAGGAATACCCTGGCTGAGATTAATTGACTCAGTGATTAAAGTAATAGGGGTGGGCGTGTCAGAGACAATGGAATTGTCTCAAGAGAGAGAAGAGTTCAAAACTGTTGTACATAGAGTTGATATGAGTTGCAAGAAACTCAATGGCAGTACAACATGCCATTAAAAATGTTGAATGAGGGTGAGCTTCTGTGGCATAGTTGCAAGAAGCTGCACTGCTATCCCAGAGGTTCACAGTTTGAATCCACTAGATGCTCTGCTGAAGAAGGCGGGACAATCTCCTCCTGTACCAGTCAGATTCGATTTGACTGTACATACATTTTAAAAAAAATTTTAAAAAGTTGAATGAGGTCTGAAAATATGTGGCTTTTTCATTTGACTAATGCCAGGGCTGTATCCTGTCTCCACATCTTTTCAATCTTTATGCAGAACAGGTTATCCGTGAGGCTGGGCTCTATGAGGAGAAATGTGGTGTCAGGATTGGTAGAAGATCTATCAACAATCTGCGTTATGTATATGACACAACCATGCTTGCTGAAATTGAGGAGGGCCTGAAGTACTTGCTGCAGAAGGTCAGGGACTGCAGTCTTCAGTATGGATTGAGACTCAATATCAAGAAAAAAAAGATTCTCACCACTGGGCCAATTGGCAGTATCAGTATGGATGGTGAAGAGATTGAGATCGTTCACAGTTTTGGTTTGCTTAGCTCCATAGTCAACACTCTTGGCACCAGTAGCCAGAAAATTAAAAGACAACTTGCGATGGGCAAGTCTGTGGGTAGAGACCTCTCTAAAGTGCTGAAGTGCAAGGATGTCAGCCTGAAGACAAAGGTACACCTGATACAGGTCTTGGTCTTTGCAATAACTTGCTATGCATCAGAGAGCTGGACAATGACTAGGGATGACAGAAAGAGAATTGATGTCTTTGAGCTGTGGTGTTGGAGAAGAGTGTTGAATATACCATGGAGTGCTAGGAAAACAAACAGGTTTGTCCTGGAGAGGGTGAAGCCTGGCTGTTCCTTGGAGGCAAGGATTCTGAAGCTTCTTCTGACATACTTTGGACAGGCTGCAAGGAGGAACCAGTCCTTGGCGAGGGATGTCATGCTTGGGAGGGTGGAGGGACAACACAGGGGAGTTAGACTCTAGATAAGATGGATTGATTCAATGACAGGGCTAATGGGGGTGGTGTGTTGGGAGATGATGAGATTGGCACAAGATAGGGCAGAGTTTAGGGCTCTTGTATATAGGGTCAGTACGAGTCACAGGCGACTCAATGGCACATAACAACAAGAACAAAGTGCTCAGCTATGAACCTGAAAGTTTTAGCATATGGCTATTCTGTGGAAGTAAAATGTAGCAATCTGCCCTATAAAGATTACAGCTTGGAAAATCTATGGGATAGTTCTATTCCATTTTACAAAGTCGCCGTGAGTAGAAATTTCAAAATTTCAAAAGGTTTTGGGAGATACACCCGCTCAAATGCCCAAACCAGGAAAACAGTAAGCGCCATCTTGTGGCAAATAGAGTAGCTGCTCAGACTGTAATTAGGTGTCATGGAGTGCATTGTTGTTATGTGCCATCGAGTTGCTTGCTACTCAGCGAGCCTATGTACAATAGCCCTAAACTCTGCTATGTCCTGTGCCAAATGCACTGTCTCCGACACACCCATCCAGATTACCCCAGTCACCGAATCAATGCACCTCCTAGCCTTCCTCTCCTGCGCCTGCCCTCCACCCTCCCAATCATGATGTCCTTCTCCAAGGACCAGTCTCTCCTTCCAACATGACCAAAGTATGTCAGACAAAGCCTCAGAATCCTTGCCTCCAAGGAGCAGCCTGGTTTAACCCTCTCCAGGATGAATTTGTTTGTTTTCTTTGCAGTCCATGGTACATTCAATACTCTTCTCTAGCACCACAGCTCAAAGGCATCTATCCTCCTTAGTCATTGTCCAACTCTCTAATGTATAACAAGTCATTGCAAAGACCATGGCCTGTATCAAACGCACCTTAGTCTCCAGAGAGACACCACTGCTCTTCAGTACTTTAGAGAGGTCCCTAACAGCAGACTTTCCCATTGCAATATGTCTTTTATTTCCTGGCTGCTGGTGCAAAGAGTGTTGATTGTGGAGCCAAGGAGACTAAAGCTGTGAACAATCTTGATCTCTTCACCATCCATCCTGATGTCGCCAATTGGTCCAGTGGTGAGAATCTTTGTCTTCTTGACATTGAGCCTCAATCCATATTGGAGGCTGCAGTCCTTGACCTTTCAGCAAGCAGGGTTGATTGGAGTGTATTACAACTGTCTAATTCTGCTCCATCTCACAATCTCCATAATAAACTAAAACCAGACACATTCCAGTAGCAAAAATGTTTACCTTCAAAAAGATTTGGAATATAAAATAACTGTGTTTATTCAAGAAATAAGAAGTTTTACATCCATTTAACTTCAAAAAGACTTCAGGTTTTAAAACTAAGGCTACTACAGCATTTATTTTGCCAGATGTGACAGTTCCATGTTGAAAATGTTCAACAAACAACAATTACCTTCAAAACCCAACAAGACATTTTTCCACATAACCTAGGATATTTCACAAATGATAAAATTCTTTCTTCAGTATTCAATCTTTTCAATCTCATCCATATCTTCAGGGTCAAGCTGCTTAATACTGCTGTCTGAAAAATAAAGAAAGTGGATAAGAATTACCATAGAAAACTGGATCTTAATTCTACATACCTATTAATTTCTGAAGACAGTAATATCTTTGAAAGTATGTTTTGATACCTTGAGAAAGCCTTGAGATAGGTAAATTCTCTAGATTAGACAAGGATGGGATGATGATAAATAACTCTCTCAAAAGCCACTGGAGAGGCAGCTAGTGACAGGTTTCAACTGGATGGTACATAACAACTACCTGAAATAATGGTAAGTGTACCAGAAAATGAGGTATATTGGGCCAGAAAAGACCTGAGAGGGGGCCTATGTGAGTGAAGAGAAGATAAGTATGAGTTAGGGAGGGTGGAGGGTGAAAGAGAACATAAGTTTTCCTACATGTGGGTCACTTCCCAAGATTAGGTTGCACAAAGTTCTCACAGTAACAACAGGCTTTATTTGTTTCTTCTCTCTGCTCCCTGACATTCTCTCCAGTTATTCCTAAAACAGGAGTATATAACCTACAGTCCCTGAATGGTCTCAGTTGTTTTGTGCTGTCAAGTCACTTTCAACCAAGAGTGACCCCTCTGTACAACAGCTTTGAACCCTGCTCTGTCTTGAGCCAATTCCACTGTCTCTGGCACACCTAACCTAGCCCCATTACCCAGTCACTGAGTCAATCCATCTCATCCAGGGCCTTCCTCTCTTGCACTGTCCCTCCACCATTCAAAGCATGATGTCCCTCTCCAAGGAATGGTCCCTCTTGGTAGCATGCCCAAAATATATTAGATGGAGCTACATAAGTCTGCAATGCTTCTAAAACTATCTTCCAATGTATATATGTGGGTACACATCCACAAACCCACAAAATTATTGCTATTAAATCAGAAGTAAATGATAGCTTCAATGGGTCTTCAACGGCTGTAAATCACAAGAGGAGACTATCTTTGGTGGATCCAAACCACCAGTCTTTGTGTTGGCAGCACAACTCCTTACCCATATAATATACACAGGTGTGTTTATATGTATGTATGTGTGTGTGTGTGTGTGTGTGTGTGTGTGTGTCTATGTGCATTTTCCTAAGAACAGTGTCTACTGCTTTCAGCAAAGATTAAGCACCACTGTCCTGAGACAAAATCAGCAATATATCTACAGTCAATAATGTGTTCCTTTTCCAATGCTCCCTGACCAAATCTTGGTTCCCTTTGGGAAGCAACCATTCCAGAACAGGAGACTTCACATTTCTATCAGAGTGTCACCAGCCAGTCCAAAGGCTCTGGCAGTTCATCAGAGGCCACTTTGTTAAGTGGGGGAGGCTGGAGGAATGACAGCAGACAGCCTGGTAAGTCAAAATTGTGCTAAATGCGATGATGACAGAGGGAGGAAAGTGTAAAAAAGGTTACTGACGGCAGAATATAATCTCAGAGAATTTGATATCTCTGTTTAAAGTAATCCAGTTCCCTTTGGACTAAACAGGTTGAAGAGGTACTGCTGAGGTACTGTGGAAAGGAGACCACAGGTAAGTCTACTTCATTTGATGTCGAAGGGCATTTCTCCCTAACTTTACCGATAAACAGACAATTCCATAGGTTCACCTCTGTGCATGTCTTATTCTTTCTTTCTGAAATGACCTAATTTTGCTTTAGAACTCAATCACCACAGGTGTAAATTGAATTTCCCATGAAGAGTTCTCCAATATTGTCTGTTAGAAACAAGTGTCTTGTGTTCCCTTATAACTCTGTTCATACTTCTTGGTATACTGAGCATATAGTTGCATTTCTCTCTGGTTAGAGTGAATGTTATTTAAAAGCACAGGCAATAGCTTGTGCACACAGTGTATCACAAAAACTAAGAACTGAAATGCTTAGGGACTCATAACTTATTAGAAACACAATAGTACCTCGGTGGCATAATGGCTAAGCACTTGACTGCTAACCTCACAATCAGCAGTTCAAATCCATGAGCTACTCCACTGCAGAAAGATGTGACAATCTGCTTCTATAAAGATTACAGCCTTGGAAACCCTATTGCTGTTGTTAGGTGCCATTAAGCCAATCACAAAGCCTATGGTGCAGTTTATTCTCTCCTCAGCAATACAGAAGAACATCACCATCTGGTTTTTAAACTTGTTTTTCAGGAACTAAACTTGCTACTGTTGTTGTTAGGTGCCACTGAGTTGACTTTGATTCAAAGCAAATCTATGAACAACAGATCTAAACCTCACCTAACTATGCACCATCCTCGAGGTCTCCAAAAATGCAAGTTGCCTCTAACAACAAGGCTGTTACATGCAGAGAGATGAGCAGATAAGGAATGCTGACAATAAATCGTCTATAAAGGTTACACAGTTTTAAAAGGCAGACCAGGAATTAATAATCTAGGTCTGATTCCAAAGCACATGTCTTTTGTATACCACAGGGGGGAAAAATCTTATTTGATGAAGATATGAAAATCTCCAGATCATGGAATGAACATATAAATCATGTTAATTTCACTTTATTTTAAAATTTTTCTTCTAATATCATACAGGAATTATTTCATCAATTGTTGCCCATGAAATCTCAGTCCTAGGGATTGAACCACACACTTGTAGACTAGAGCTCCACAATATACACCACCCAGTTGCAGGGCTAGTTTGTAACACAGAAGTTGTGCTACTCACTGAAGTGGTCCTGGATTTTCATTAACAGTGGCAGCTTATCCACTTCAATCATGTTGAAGGCAAGGCCTTTTTTCCCAAAGCGTCCAGCCCGCCCAATACGGTGCAGGTAGGTCTCATAGTCTGGTTCCTCTGCTTGGTTTAAAGGGAGGTCAAAGTTCACAACAACTGTGACCTGCTTCACATCAATCCCTAGAAAAGGAAAAACAGTGCAGGGCTCTGTAACTTTTTCCTTAGGACATAGCTATTCAAACAACACATTCACTAAGGAGATTTTTCATATAACAGAAATAATCTAGAAATCAAATCTGGCTTTAAATATTTGTCTTTGATGCTGTGTAAGAGTGTCAGCCAAAGGGGGCAAATCATAGGGTCCCACAATTTGATGGATGGAGGGAGGAGTGGATAAAGGAAATGAGAAAGAGGGTCAGTGTTGATTAATTTTATAAAATATAATGAATCAGAATGATTTCATGAAACACAACAAGAATAAAATGTTTGAAAAACAATGTATACAAACTTTGTAAGCAAACCAATATAAAACTAAAAATTGTAAGTGTTGGCCAAAGATAACCGTAAAGCCTTAAATGTGTGCAAAGAATGAGAGAGGGAGAGAGTGCGTGTTTTTGGTAGGAGGAACTCTCACTCAAGTCACAGAGCCACTACTGTGCTAAATCCACAGTGTGCATTCATCCTTAATCTTCTGTCTCCTTATTCATCACTGTATCCCAACTTCACTCTTATCACAATCATTTTATCTGGTTAGGTCTTTAGTCTTTGCCTCAATTATTACAACAATTTACAGATTGGCTTCCCCTCCATCTTCTTCTCACTTCTCTAAATGTTCCTATGATAGTTACTACAGAAATATCTAGGTGTATAACATCTGAATTCAGAAGTTAAATTGTTCTCAAATTGTATGAGATGAAATTAAAACAATTAAAGTTCAATCATCTAAAGTATATTCTCCTAATCCATAAATTAAATACATCAGTAACAAGGTCTTAGCCATTTTACAACATTCTGTAAATTCTCATTCAACTGAACTGCTACCTATTCTTCAAAGTCTTTCAAATTGAAGGTGGCCTAGGAATACTTCTGTGATTCCCCAGGGCATTTTACATCTCCCTGCCTACTAATAAACGGTCTAGATTATGATACCTATTCTCCCTGCACTGGGATTTACTCTGAAGGTCTTGGTGCTCTCTTCCTTCTAGGGTCTAGAGAAGTGCTGCTGTCTAATATGTCAAACAATCCTGGGGCTACTTGAATTAAAATGAAAAATTCAGCTATATTTGCCATATTTTGCTAGTGGCTACCAACTGGCCAGGACAGAAAAGAGTAACTCTACTGCTGTAGACTTCTACTGTACAATGCTAGTCTAGAGTGATGAATGGAGGACCAGGATTTCCTCCCCTTTTTATATTACTTTTACAAAGTATTTGTAGCATTCACTGCTAACGTAGCAGGTTCTCATAGTTGGAATGCTGGATTTAGGCAAGTATGTATCATCTCAAACCAATACTACAGAGTTTACTCTAACTTACAGGTAACCCTTCTCTAAGTTTTGTAGGCTGGAAATTACATGGGAGAAAATGGTTCATCTTTCTCCCACATAATTACTGGTGGGATGTGGCCTTTGAGTTAGCAGTGCTACACACTATATCACCAAGGCTTCTGAGGCAAGATAAAGATGTAATAGGATGAAAAATTGCAAAGATTCAAAGAGGGGGCAACAAAAAAATATTCTCAAGTATTTGTTGTTGTTATGTACCACTGAAACAACTATGATTCATAGCGACCCTATGCACAACTGTTCTGGACCCTGCTCTATCCTAAGCTAATCATACTGTATGTGACAAACCTGCTCCCAATTACCCCAGTTACTGTGTCAATCTACCTGACCCCTGGGGGTCTTCCTCTCATTAACCCAGCTACTATGTCATTCCATCTCACTTGGGGTTTTCCTTTCCTGCTCTGTCCCTCCACCTTATCAAGCATGCTATCCTTCTCCAAGGTCTCTCCTGGCATCATGCTAAAAATTGTGTGAGACAGAGTCTCAAAATCCTTTCCTTGAAGGAGTAGCTTGGTTTCACCCTTTCCAGGACAGACCTGTTTATTCTCTTGTCCAGAATCACAACTGAAAGGCATCAACTCTTCTTCCGTCAGCTTTGGTCACTGTCCAGGCACTCAGATCAAGTAATTGTGAATACTATGACCTGGATCAGGAGCACCTTAGAATTTAGGCTGACATCATTGCTCTTCAGCACTCTGGAGAGGACTCAAACTGCAGATTTTCTCAATTTAATTCATCTTGATTTCCTGACAGCTGGTGCCAAGAGTGTTGATTGTGGACCCAAACAAATAGAAATGGATAACAATCTCAATTTCTTCTCCATCTATCATGGTGTTGCCAACTGACCCAGTGGTGAGAATCTTTGTCTTCCTGATGCAGAGCTTCAATCCATATTAAAGACTGAAGTCCTTGATATTCTGCAGCAAATGCCTCATGTCCTCTTCAGTTTCAGCAAGCAAGATTGTGCCATCTGCACAACATAGGTTGCTTATGAGTCTTTCTCCAATCCTGACGCCCTAATCCTCCTCATAAAGTCCAACTTCCTGAATGATCTATTTTGTATATACATTAGAAAGGTTTAGAGACAGGATGCAGCCCTGGCAGGCACCTTTCCTGATTCTGAACCATGCAGTGTTTCCCTGCTTTGTTCCGATGACTGCTTCCTGGTCCAAGTATATGTTTTCATGAGCACAATAAACCATTCTGGGATTTCCATTCTTCTCAAAGTTAGCTACAATTTGTTGTGATCCACACAGTCAAATGTCTTTTCATAGTCCATGAACAGACATTCTTCTGGTAGTCTCTGCTTTCAGCCAAGACCCATCTGAAATTGATGATAATTTACCTAATGTCATGGCCTCTTCTAAACTCAACTTTTATTTCTGGTAGTTCTCTGCTGATGTACTGTTCCAGTCACTTTTGGATGCTCTTCAGTAGGACTTTGGTTGTGTGTGATATTGTTTGATAATTTCCACTCTGTTGGATCACCTATCTTTGGACTGGGAATAAATATGAATCTCTTACAGTCAGATCCCAGGTGGCTGGCCTCCAGATTTCTTGGCACAACCTGATGAGCACATCCAGGGCTGTATCCGTTTGTTGAAATATGTTAGTTGGTATGCCATCGACTTCTGGGACCTTGTTTTTTGCCAATTCCTTCAGAGCAGCTTTAACTTGCCCTGTCATCACCATCAGCACTGGCCACCTGGGAGAGCAGATCATCATTGGCACAAAAAACAGGAGGCTTGAGCTACCATATCAAGTTCTGGCTTCAGGGAGGGAGGAAGAGAGTGCTGACTTGGCAAGGCTAGGGGTAGGGAAAGGATGGAAAGTTAGGTGGAGAAGTGGATGCTGGTGAATGTGTGTGTGTGTGTGTGTGTGTGTGTGTGTGTGTGTGTGTGTGTGTTGGTGGTGGATGGAACCAAATCACATGTGCCAAGAGGCTGGAAGGGACGAACATAAATGTGTTTACTTTTGTAATAGAGAAGAGTCTTTCATCTATTTTTCTGTGTAAAATGGTGGTCTGTTATATATTACTCTAAAGCTAGTTTAGAAAGACTAGCAACAAGGACTGGCCCTCCACTTCTGAAATAAGAGGCCTTTGAAAACACTTATGCACAACAGAGTACACTTAGATCAGACTAGCAGATATAATACCTGAGACAGAGTCCTCTGTTTGGCAAACACAAGGAAGGAAGAACAGCTGCAAGAAGAAACTGGTGGCTGGAAAGTGGATTATGAGAAGCATGAATGTAGAAAATCAGATATTGTTCAAAAAGAAATGGAACACATAAATACTGATGTAGGCACTAACGAAATAAGATGGAATATCATGGATATTTTGAATCAGACAATCACATGATCAACTATGCCAGACATGAAAAGGTGAGGAAAAATAAGGTTGTGTTTATAGTTAAAAAGACCATGTCTAGATCCATTTTGAAATACAATGCTGTGAGCAACAGGATAATATCCAAACACATACAAAGAACATCCGTTAATATCATTATCATTCAAATATATACACCAACAACCAGAGCCAATAAGGAGGGAAAAGTTATTTCTACCGACTTTTGCAATCAGAAATCAATTGAACATGTAACCAGGATGCACTAATAATAATAATGGATGATTGGAATGCAAAACTGGGGAACAGAAGAAGGATCAGTAGTGAAAAAAAAATAGACTTGGTGATAAAATGATAGAATTTTGTAAAAAAATTTATTCATTGCAAATTCATTTTATAAGAAACACAAACAATGACTATATACATTGCCTCATCAGATTGAATACATCTGTGCAAAAAAATCATTGGAGAAGCTCAATATCAGCTGTGAAAACTAGGCTAAGTGCTGATTGTGGAAGAGACTATAAACTACTCATAATTAAATGTAAACTGAAGTTAAAGAAAATGAAATTGAATCCACAAGAACCAAAATTTAACCTTGAATTTATCCCATCAGAATTTGAAAACTATCTCAGGAACAGGTTTGAGGCCTGGAACACTAATTAGCAAAGGCCAGGTTAGCTGTGGGAGGACATCAAGAATATCATCCATAAAGAATGCAAAGTATCATTACAAAGACAGAAGAGGAAGGCAAGATTGTGAAGGATGTCAGAAGAGACTCTAAATACTGCACAGAGGCATCAAGAAGCCAAAGCAAAGGGAAGAAACCAGGAAGTTAAGGAGCTAAACAGAAGATTCCAAAGGATAGCTCAGAAGACAAAGCAATGTATTATAATAAGTGCAAAGAACTGTAGTCGGAAAATAAAAGGGGATGAACTCACTCTGCATTTCCTAAACTGAAGGAACGGAAAAACAAATTCAAGCCTCAAGTTACAACACTTAAGGATGCTATGCGCAAAATATTAAGTGATCCAGAAAGCATCAAAAGAAGAAGGAAGGAGTACACAGAGTCACTGTATCAAAAAGGATTGGCTGACACAGAATTCATGAAACAACTTATGTTCAAGAAGTATGAGAATGGTGTCACTCCAGAGACAAAGGAAGACAAAGTAAGCTTAGCTTCAGGAAATAAGGCGCATCAGGTGGGAAAATGTGCCCAGAGCCAGAGTGAGGGTTTTTGTGGGGAAATGATACTGAAACTTCCCTGGG